GGGCTGCTTTTCTCTCCGCAGGGAAGGAGCCCAGGGACAAGCTGAGCACAGGGGGGGGGAGCAGCTCCTCCCCCACCCCACGCCCGGTGCCCCACACTGCAGAAGCTCGCAGCCCACTTGGGGCTGCCCAGAGCAAGCACAGGCAGCCCCACACAAGCTGCAAACAGCTGCAGCACGGGGCACCGGGCATGGATGGGGAGGGGCCACTTCTCCCCCCCATGCTCCTTCCCTGCCCAGGGTCCCCTCACTTACCTGAGCTTCCTGCGCTGGGGCAGCCACATGCTCCCAGCCCAGAAACCCCAGAAGGGGCTTCCAGCTGAGGGCACAGCCAGGCAGGCCCCATTGTTGGAGCCCACTGGGCTTCCCCTGGTCCTACTGCCCTTGGTTCCTGTCATTTTTGACAGAAACCAAGGGCAGGGAAATATTAATTTTCCAAATTTTTTTTAGGGGCCCTGCAGGCTCGATAGAATGGCCTCGTGGGCCGTATCTGGCCCGCAGGCCGTATTTTGCCCACCCTGTTATAGAAGATGGGAAGCATGTCTGACACCAGATTCAACTTGTATGATCTTGGGAATACCATTTAAAATTCCTACCGTTTTACCCAGCTGTAAAATGAAGATGTTTTGTATCTGCGAAGTTCTGAGTTCCTTGAATTAAAAAAAAAATGTGCACAACATGTCACCCTTTAATCCAGTGATTCTTAACTAGGGTGCCACAGCATCTTGGGGTACCTTGAGATACTTTCAAGGGTGCTGCACAGTGCCACACAAAGTTAGCATTGTTAGAAGTGCAAATATGATTCATGAGATAAAGTCAAAGATTTCAAATAGGAATCCAAAAGCATTTAGACCTGTTGTGATCTTTCAGAGGTCTTTGCAACAGAAATATTGTTTTAGTATTACTCTGTAGTCAAAAAGCAAATGAAAAGTAAGAGCTGGCTTTTTCCAAAGTGCCTTGAGCCTAAAAAGCTTGAGAACCACAGCTTTAATCTTATATAAAATACTTGCTTTCTTTTTCTCTTGTAAAATTCTGTCTGCCTGCAAACTAATAATACTACTTTACTAGCGTATTACTCTTGATTTCCTTTGCTTATCATGTTATATGCTAATCTCAGGAGCACAGTAAAATAAATATTACACCCAGACATAATCTGTTATACTACTGAAAACAATTTGGTTGCAATGTCCATTTGCTGGTTTGGAGAGCTTTTTGTGTGGTTAAAGAGATTTGCTGAAGAATGTAAAACTAATTTCTCTGAGGAATCTCCAATCCAGGCCATTAAAGTCTGCTATACTGTTTAGAGTTATCAACTGCCTTTTAAATCCTGAGAGACTATCTTGTGCCATTGACAGCGTGCTCTCTTAAATCTGTGGAAATCAGCAACAAAATACGTGCCAAGCTGTCTTACAGAGGTTTTCCTGTCCCCGTTGTTTCATTTTGTTCAGTTTCCTTACTTCTGTCAAAAATTCTTCTCTGCAAAATATTACAGGGTTTGTGGCTATAACTGTTCATATAACTAATAGGTTGGTCTTTGGTACAATGTATTATTCATGAAGATGGGCTTCTGTCATGACTGACAATAACAGTAAGGATGTCAGTTCTGAACATTTTTCTAGAGGTTATCATATGAATAATTAATATGATTTCAACACTTTTACTTCAGCTCGTGAAAATCATGTTTGAACTGAATATTTCTTCAAAGCATAGTGAAAATACCCTAGTGAAGGCTTGAACTACTACTGACTCATGCAGAACTACTGATCAGAGCTATATTAACTTCTTATTGCTGTAAGTCAGTGATACAAAGTACAATTCACCATGGTTTTTGTGCTACAATGCTTATATAGATGTCCAGTCCTCACCCAGTAAATAGCTTAAGTAGAAAACAGCTCCCCTGGCCCTACCAGTGCCCCTCACTCCCAAGCCACAGCTCTTCTCCCACCAGCCCTGCTGGTGTCACTCACTCCTGACTCACTGTCCCCAGCCCCACAGTATATGGGACCAGGGTGGGGGTGTGGGGCATGAGGCAGCACGTGCCTCCCTAGATTTGTGCACCTACAGTGGGCACCGGACTGCAGTCACCTCTACAGCCCAGCTGGTTGCGCTCAGTGTGGGAGGACAGAGCAAGGCGGTGAGATTCATTGCTGCCACTGCTGCCAGAACTGCCGCACCAGCCACGCCACCAGCAGCATGAGGAGTAACAGATGGTGGGGAGGAGCTGTGGTGCCCTCACCTTCTCGCACCATCAGCCACTCATGTGCTGGGCCACAACTCTACCCCACTGCCATGGCCTAGCCACTGCTTTACCGTGGAGAGGAGGTGGAGTGGCAGGTAGTGTCACCTGTGCCTTTCCCAATCCCCTGACATGTCATCCATGCCCCTCCTACCTCCGCAGCCCATAGACTTACCTGCGGGGAGCTGTTCTCCCTTCTGGCTGGCTGCCACTGGCAAGTGTGCACACACACATATACATGGTGGCCCCTGCCTGATCGCCCTCCTTCCACTCCCCACAGCCCCAAGCAGCCCCTTGCAGGCTGAAACTCTGCCAGTCTGCAACGGAAAACTCACTGTCTCCCATGTTTTTCTCCTTTAAAGAAGAATACATTTTAAAAGTTTTTTGATCCATTTTTTAAAGTTTGCTCATGACCCTTTCATATATTCTTGCGACCCACTTTTGGGTGATGACCCACGGGTTGAGAAATGCTGTGCTAGATCACACTGTTGAGTACCATTAAGCCTCAATTCCAAATCACTTTTTTTTTTTAATTGGACTTTTTTTGGGAGCCATGTCATCTTGCCCATGAAGCTCCCGGAGAGGCTAGGAATTCAGGAGGGGTACTGTTCCATGTGGTCAGCATTCAGCCATGATTCTGGAAAAACCTTC